CCTTATTTTTCCAGTAATGTTTCTATCTATCTCCTTTTCTCTCTTATCTCATATTCTATTTTCTTTCCACTCCATTTCCTTCCAAACACTTACCAAATTAGTTCTCACACAATAATCCACTTAACACTTAATACTAATTGTCTAAAATACCCTTTACTCTATTTTCCCCGAAAACTCTCTGAATCGGTAAAATAGCACAGTATTGAAATTAAACATATCAACACATAAATTCCACAATTAAAATACCAATTATCCAAATAAATCAAAAAGGACTCAATAAAATAATGGGAATTCAGAATTTGGGGCGTTACATATTGGAGCAAATGCCTTGATGTGTTTAGAAAGGTCTTGAATTGTCTAGAGATGTCTAGAATATTCCACACAATGATAGAACAATGTAGACCCCAAAATGGTAGAGTGAAAGTGTTGTCACACAAAATGCAGCAAAAACTGCATTTTTGCACAAGGTAACCGGTTACTCTAAAGTGGTAACTGATTACCACAGGCAAAATTTGTGTATTTTGCTTGTAAAATGGTGTTGTGGCCACAGTTTTGATTTTCGACCTTTTGCTTTGATTAATAGGAATAAAAACCTTCATTTTATGCTTGTCTTAGTGATGTGATATCTTTGAGAGGATGTGATTAATTGGGCTTAGAAAACCTGAATATTCCTGCAACAAAAATCACAGATAAAAATTGCGAATGCATATGCCAGTGATGCGAATGCACCTGCTTATGCAAAAGGAAAAAGGGAGGTCAAATTTCGGGTTATGACAGGTGAAAAATTTATTTAAACAATCTTTTTCTGCGTCCCATCGCGAAGGTTGTATTTTTTTTCCGATGTGTGACATATATATGTAGAAGTCACATTGCTGGGAGAACTCTATCAAGATAAATTTTAAGGGTCAAGTATTATTGGCCAGAAATGCTCCAAGATAATGTTAGGTTCGTAAATCAGTGCAACACGTGTCAAAAGTATGCACATTTCATCGACACACCGATTGACATGTTACACTTAATTATCTCGCCTTGGACATTTTATCAGTGGAAGTGGATACACTTGGACAATATAGTACTTTTATAATTCAATATAATAATCATAAACCATTTATCATCATTATCAACAAATAAGGTTAAAGTTATCTCGATTTCATTTTCTCCCCTCTCAAAAGAATTCCCTTCTTTTTCTCTTAAAAACTCTCAAAACGAAGCCAAAAAATTATCTTGTAAAAAAGACATATTATATTTAAGACACTAAGGGTCTGTTTGCAGTTTGGTTTTAGAATTGGAAAATTTTGAAGGGTTACGTCTATATTTTAATCTGTTTGATATTTTTAAAAAGTTATAAAAATAAGATACCATATGTTAATGCATCATATTGTTTTTTTAATAAATTTTAAAAAATATAGATATAGTCCTCTAAAGCTCCCCTCCAAAACTCTTCAAAAACCAAATCGCAAACGGACCCTTAGGAACTAAAATCTTCCAAACCATATGTTATTTTATAGACAATAATTTTAATTGAGAAGAATATAAGGAATACTAATTTGATAAATTTACATCAAATTTGCATTCATTTTTGCCTAATATGTGATGTTATGCCACTTAAATCAATTAAATTCTCTTAAAAACAAGGCTTAGTTATACTTTTGGACTCATATATATTGAAATTTTGATATTTTTATCCCTCATCTCCACCTTGTGATTTGAGATTTTTTTTTAATTTCCTCTAAATCAACTATATAATAATTAATATAATATGATACCACACAACCTTAAATTTCTTTCTACTACTAATTAATTACACTACTACAAGGTCAAAGCAGTAATTGACAAATGCCAACTTTTACTCATACCACTACTCAACCTGGTTCTTACACATATCCTTACACAATTTCTTTTTCTTTTCCATCCTTTCACCAAATCAAACCACAAAGGACAATATTATCTCTCTCTCTCTCTCTCTCTCTCTCTCTCTCTCTCTCTCTCTCTCTCTCTCTCTCTCTCTCTCTCTCTCTCTCTCTCTCTCTCTCTCTCTCTCTCTCTCTCTCATTTTCTTTCTTGGGTTTAAAAAAAACCGAGATTCTTCACTTTTTGCTTCATCATCAAGTAAGTTTATAAGTTTCAAAGCCGACTCTATTTTATTTATTAATCTATGCTTCATTATTTTCCTCTAAACACAAAATTGTTTTCCTTTTTCCTCTACTAATGCATTAGTTATTTCTTTTCAACACAATTCAACTTTTGTCATGGCACATTTTTTTTTCTATTTTATACTATTTTACATGATTCTTTCCCAACAAATCTATTTGATTTTTTCAAAAAAAAAAAAAAAGGTTCACATTGTGTTTTGGTTGTTGAATACATGTTCACACTATTTTTTAGGTAAGGTTCATGAAATTTTAACAAATAATTTTTTTCTTGAATGCACTCAATTTGTAAATGTGTGTGTGTGTGTGTGTTGATTTTGGTTCTTGAATGCACTCAATTGGTAATGTTATTTTATACAATTAGATGTTTCCACTTTGACATTTAACTGTGATTATTTTCTCTTTATTTTTATGTTGCTAACTTAGGTTCCTATAAACCTTCCCAAACTTCTTCTCAACCTATGTCTCAAACACATGGATTAAAACATTCATAAAATAATAAATATTGGTCAGATATTTAAATATTCTTGTTGTTATTCTTTTTCAAATTTACCTACTCAAGGACAAGATGTTTTTTGGTTTACAATGCCTGACTTTTTTTGCACCACCACAGAAAGAACAATAAGATTCAAACAAACCAAATTTGATTGGTATTATGAATGTTGCTCAACATGAAACCGTTCTAACAGGAACCCTAACCTGGCCTTTTAACTGCAGTTGTGGTAGAAAGGATGTTGTCCCAGTTACAAAGTTAGGTTTCATATGACAATAACATTTTATTTATAAAAATTATTACTACTGACTTGTTAGAGTTATTCATATATGTACACTTAAAATTGAAATTGAGGTTGAGTACGAAGGTATGATATATTCCTTGATGTTTTGGGATAAAGAATGTATCTCGATTGTTAGAATAATGATTGTAGACTTGAGAAATATCATGAAAAAAGTAAGTATAATGATGTTAGATGATTTATATCCTTATTGAGTTACAACATGTTACTTACTAATATGAATTATTCATTCTTGATCCCCTCACATCGTCAGGATCACCTACAAATCTACCATGTAAACCTTGACAAACTGTTGCAAAAAGAGTTTTCCTTCTATGTCAAGTATTGACATTCTACAAACAATGCTAAATTGTAATACTTAATGATGACGAAGATGCCATCAAATTGATAAAGAAACACATGAATCCCAATGAGATAATTTTAGGTGGGTTTATTCTTTCATCATTATTTTACACCTTGACATCCTTATATTAATGCAATGCAATACAATGTCTTTTACACTTACATGATTTTCAAATTTCATGCTTTGTATTAATACCACACACCTCTCAAAGGTTGCATAGTGGTTAATGTTTCAAAAATCACAACTTTTCACATAAACTAAAATGGGGTTTATCATCTTTAAACCATCAATTTTACATTCTTTTTGTAAACTATACATCGAAAAGTATGAACTAATGGCATGATTTTTTTTTATCATATATAACACAACCAATCTAAAAATCTTAATATTTCTGCCCATTCAAGCATATCAAACCAGCTAAAGTGAAATAAACATGATTAATTATGGAAGGCAATAGAACAAGGTTTGAATAGGGTACTATAGTATCATTCTTATACCCGCAATTGGAAAAATTCTTTGTACCCGAACCAATACCTATTGGGTATCAACATTGACATCTGTCCCCCTACTCTATGAGTATATAAGTGTTCGTATCCGTACCTGTTACCCTCTTTTCTAATAAAAACAAATATATCATTTATAAAATATCATAATATTTTAAGCTTTTAAAAACATAAAAAAGTTTTTAAAAAAATTTATTGTTGAATTGTGAAATAAATGATCTCTTATATTAAATATGTAGTAGTTCAAATTGATGTTTTTTTTTAATTTTATAAATATTTATTTTTATATAATAATATAAATTAAAATATATAAATATATATTGTGTGAGTATGGGGCGGGGTGAATACTAAGGTGTCCATACCCGTTTATTTAAGTGACTATTTATTCGAGCTCGTGTTCATATCTATTTTTATGGATTTTTATCCTACCCGTTGTGGGTACCCATTAGAGATGAACCAAATAGTCATCCCTACGATTAATAAATATACACGACAAAAATGACAAAAGAAAAAAAATATTCTAAAGTGATAAAAATTATTTATAACATTTTCTTATGTTCTCTCTATTTTCTCCATATCATTTACCATGTATCTTCTATATTCTTTACCACACTTTTCCCTCGATTTTTTCCTCATTTAGAAACTAAAATGAAAAATTTTAAACTTCTTTTCTTATTTCTCCTATTTTTTAGTCTCTAAATCTACAAAATTGATTATTAAAAATTAGTTTATCAAACAATTTCTTTCTCTTTTAATTTTTAGAGCTAATTTAAAAATCAAATTCTTAAAACGAATAAGACTAGAGTCTTACATGATAGTATAGTAGAAAATATATGAAATGATCTACTAATAAAAAGAAAAATATTAATAATTTATTCTATTAGATTTCACTAATCACACACCCAAATCACTAATTACACCCAATACTAACTGGAGAAATTGTATAGTGTTTGCGTGTACCGTAGATGACTCGAGGCGACTCGTTCGAGTGATGGACTCGTTAGGTTTAAATTAGGTCAAGTTGTGATTTTTGTTTTTTTTTTTTGTTGTTTTTTTTTAAGTTTAGGTTTTTTGTTTGACTCAAAAGCTGAGAAAGGTGGGGGAGAAGGTGAAGAACAACCCAAGTTAGATCTGAGGAATTCTCCAAAGTTTTCAACTTGTGATCAAAGGTTTCTAAATTATGCTTTGAACCTCTTCAAATTCTCTCGCAATGGCTCCTCGCCCTACTTTTTGCAAGCTTGTTCTTCCCACAACCCTTCAATCTAGGCAATTGGTAATTCAATTTCTCTCTCTTTTTTATCACTCATTGAAGTGTATGGTTTTTGTTTTGAATTGATTGTATGATTGGTGTTTTTGATTGGATTTTGTTGGTGTTATGATGGTTGCAAGACAAGGGTTTTTAGGGTTTTGCTATTTATTTTTTCTGTCACTCTCAGTTATAAACCCTGAAACCCCTTTTCATCAAGTTTGGATTTACTTGTTTTTTTTTTCAGTTCTATGATTTTGATCAATTTCTGTTTGAGTGGGTGGTTTATTGATATTTTCTGTTGAGAATCCTGATGAATGACAGTGTTTTCTTGAAGTTTTTGTTGGCTACTACTAGATTTTTTATTCAGAATAGTTTTGATTGCTATACCTAAATTCCTAAAAAATTGTTGAAGTTTAATTCAGTGTTGTTTAGGTTTTATGATTAGTTTTTTCAAAAGAGGTATATGGGAGGCTGAGTTGCTTATTAGCCCTAGAGTTGAATTGTTTAGTTTATGTCTTTTTTCATTATTAGCCCTAGTATATTTGCATACATTATATATAACTGCTTTACTTTTCCTTGGCTCTATCTTTTTAATTGAACAATCTTATCTTAAATTTCTTTATATTAGACTCTTTTGAATGAGAAATTCTTGCCTATTCTTGCGTAAGACATTGATTGTAACAAAAGTTATGGCACGAAAATTGAATATGCTATCAGATTGGTTTCTTTGATAAATTTATGCTCATGAGTATTTTGCTCTCTGCTAATTGGTATTTTACATTAGATAGAATTGATATTTTTATTGAGAACTAGCAGTGTCTCTTGTCACTTGTTTGAGTGTAAGAGAAGAACAATATAGCATAGTGAACAAAGTTTTTTTGTTTTATTACTATTCCTATGCGACTTTACTTTGTTTCAATGTTGTTAAATTGAAACTATAGTGGCGCTACATCGCTAGCGCAGCTGAATTTAGAAAAACCGCAATTTTTCCATTATACACGATTTGGTACAAAGTTTTGTCAAATAGTGGCTATCGTGGTGTCATAGCACTATTGTATAGGGGCATTTTAACAATATGGTATTTTCCGATATCTGCAATTGACTACCTGTTTTGAATTTTATTTCATGTATTTCCTAGACACACTTGAAGGCAGAGACTAACTCATTTTATGTGAACCGAAGATATTTTACTTGAGACAATCATATTATAAATCTCTACATGTAGAAATTTTTTTAATGTAGTTACTGATTCAAGCACTATTAAATATGAATTTTGGATTGCAAATTGCAATTGCTGGTGGCAATCTAGAAATGAGTCATTTTTTTAGCGAATCTCCATTTTCAGAATCGTATTTAATGTCACATACTGACCCATTCAAATTGTACAATTTTATGATGTTTGGAGTGTTGCGATTCAGATCTCACACAGAATCACTCTTTGGTCAAAATCAGAAGGGTTTTGCCATTGATAATCAATGTGCTCGTGTGCTTATTTCAGGTTGATTATATGACCCAGTTAGAAAACAACGCACCTGGGTAAAAAAGGAGCCGCCGCCAATCCTCGAATCCCTAGATCTGTGAACGAAAAACCACTTCTCGCCACAAAACCTTTTTACCTTGTGACCGGATCCTTTTGCCTTGCACCAGGAACCCACCTGTGTTGTACGATGTTCTTCTGCTCGTTGCCTTGAGAGCATCCAGAACCCTAACGTTGCCTTGAGACCAGAAGTCCAAAACCCTAATGCTGTGTGCTGTTCTGCTGCTGTTATTCTTCCCTTTTTTTCAAAAGAAAATCTATTTCTCCAAAACCCTCTATTTAGGCACCAGTGGTTTATTATTATTTTTTTTTTAATATTTACTTTAGGATAATTAGTTTTTTTTTTTTAAATCTTGGTATCCGGCCTTGCGACCGACTAATTAGTTGATTTAGACTAATTAGTTGATTTAGTTTGATGTTTTGTTTCTTTTCTAGTTGGGAATTTACCTTTGGGGTCCATTTCTTAGGTCAAACCAATTTTTTTAATAATAAAATTATAAAAAAAAAAGATTGTAATAGAAATACTTTCTTATGCCGATAATTAACGTTTAAATAAGCATTTTAAGTGTGATTTAAATGATCTGTTTATGAATTTTGTAGAATCTTATAATTCGTGTTGCCATCCATGTTAATGATTATATTTCCTCTTTACGATTCTGAGTCAAATCTCGTTTTTAAATCTTTATTCTTTTATCTTGAGCATTTACTAATATTCAGATGCTCAATATTATTTTTAATTGCAGAGGATTCCGGATAATTTTCTGCGAAAACATGGGGCCCAACTTTCGACTGCTGCCACCATCTCTGTTCCTGATGGCACCGTCTGGCGACTAGGATTGAAAAAAGTTGACAACAAACTTTGGTTCGTCGATGGTTGGCAAGATTTTGTTCAACGCTACTCTATTGGCATTGGATACTTTCTAGTATTCACATATGAAGGGAATTCGTGTTTCGTCATTCATATCTTTAACATGGGTAGTTCTGAGTTAAACTATCAATCCGCCATGAGAGGCCGTAACGAAGGGCCTTGTTATGCAAATTATCATCCTCTTTTTAACGAAATGGAAGATATTGACTCCCTTGAGTTTCTGAGTTCGCCACCTTCAAACCTTACTTCTGGTGTATTGCAAGAGAAGGGTTTTGCTGGATCTGGGGATCAACTAACACCAGGGAAGAATCATACTCCATCATTGCATAATTTGTTTAATGGCGGGTCTAAACTCAACCGCGTTAACTGGGGAGATATTGATGGTACTCTTTCCTCAAAGGTTGACATTCAGTCAACCAGAGATATAGGTGTTCAGTTCAATGCTAGTGAGTTCAAAAAGTCTACAGAAGAAGTGAAAATCCGATATTCTAACGAGGAAGGGCTTAATAATAGTGATACTAAAAAAACTTCAAGAAAGAAGCGGAAATCAGATCTGAGTAAGTTCTTTTATCCAAGTTTTCTATCTATTGTCCTATATAGCACTGACATTTTAGATTGAAGGTGTATCAGTAATTAGTTTTTAGCTGAACTGGAGTTAGCAGTTGAGGTCTTAAAAATTTCTATTAGATTAACATTTTGGTTCTGCAAAGTTCGATTTTTTTTAGGCTCTGTTTGGATCAGTGCATTTTTTTCAAAAACTTTGAATAGGCTTATGGTCTAGTAATCTAAAAAATTAATTTTCTCATCAATATAGTTTGTGGAACTGCAGGTGCACAGGAAGGCTCTTCTGCTGAAAATGAGGAGGACGCAGATTCGCGCTATCGATTCTATGAAAGTGCTTCTGCAAGAAAAAGAACTGTGACAGCAGAAGAAAGAGAAAGGGCAATTAATGAATCAAAAACATTTGAACCAACTAATCCTTTCTGCCGAGTTGTGCTGCGACCCTCTTATTTATATAGGGGATGTATAATGGTGAGATATTTAATTAATTTATTCTTTATACTTATCCGTAGTCTTCTTCGACATGTCACGTTGCGTACTTAACTCGCGTTTCTGTTTTCCAGTATTTGCCTTCCTCCTTTGCAGAAAACAATTTGAACGAGGTTTCAGGATTCATTAAACTTCTGGGCCCCACTGGGAAAGAATTTCCTGTCCGCTGCCTTTATAGAGGTGGCCGAGCAAAGTTAAGCCAAGGATGGTATGAATTTACAGTAGAGAACAATTTAGGGGAAGGTGATGTCTGTGTTTTTGAGCTGCTTAGAAGCAGAGAGGTAGTGCTGAAAGTTACTTTGTTTCGTGTACGTGAGGATGAATCAGGGTTATTCGACCCTTCTATGCAGGTGAGCCAGAACGTGAGCCATGCAAAACTGCTGAATCCTCACTTGCAGCACCGTGTCAGCACCATCAAACCGGTTAAATATTAGAAAGGAGAGTTAACTTCTCCTGATAGACTGTACAACTCTGTCTATTAGTTTTTACTTCTTCTGAGTGATCCTGGAAATCTCTGGTTTATTCCGTTTGGAACTTTGGTGATTTCCATGTCCATAGCCATATTTGAACTTAGTTATGGTAGTTTTGATATGGATATTTTGTTTTCGACTTGGATTGTAAATAGACTGTTCAATCTATTCAATCATAAACTGAGTCGAAACGCTTGTCCTAGCGCTTTTCTTTTTCTGTTGTAGAACGCATGTCCTGGTGCAGACATTTTGGGTTTAACCTTTTGTTTTTTGGATCGGTTTGGAGTTTCATCTGCATGAATATAATGGCTCAGTTACTGTTTTTTTTTTAAATGTGATGGTTAATAATGAGTTTTTATCTGGTTTCTTTTGAAATTTATCTATTCATGATATTGTCTACTCGAAGAGAATTGTGATATGATTGATATATGGATAAATCAACATTGATGCCTTTATTCATTGTTTCCGTATATAAGGAACACTATTGTTTTCAAAAAGGGGAAAAAGTTATGACATTTCATCTGCTTGTCTTATAATAAACTTCAAAATACGTAGTAAATTAGTCTCTACACCGAACTAATAATATCATTAAATTATTTGCAATTCTTTTTAAAGGAATAAAAACCGAGTTTAATTGGTATGAACTGATATTGTAAAATTATCTAATAAAAATGTATCAATTTGTCATGTCATATTATTAATTTAAAATTTATAGTGTAATGTGGTGGTATATATGAAGGTGATTGATTGACAGTAAAATGTTTTTTACACGGTTAATATATATCAATTAAATTTATAAAACTATCTATAACTATTTTAGCATTTAATTTAAAATCCACATTTTTTATATAAAGGTCATGAATTCAATTAAGAGTTAAAGCAAACTAAATTAAGAGTTAAAGCAAACTAAGCTTCATCCACTTAGACATTGCAAATAGGAGAGATCTAGAGCCAATGAGTTTAGAAATTTTTTACTCACATAACCACCTTTTCCTATATTACTTTTTAAATTACTCATCTTTTCAACCAATTTTTCAAACTATCTGTTCCGGTATGGGCCCAACCTCGGCAGGCCCAATACCGCGTACGGCCCAACCATCGAATCGGGCGCGCCGGGCACGTGCGTCCCTCAAGACGAGCAGGATGGGCCGCCGAACACAAGCAACGTCCCAACAACCTTTCATCATCCACCACACCAGACGAGCAGAACCGTCCCCGGCTCACCAAAGCGCGGCCATGGTCCCTCCCCTCCGCGGGGAGAACAACGCGCTCCAGAGTATCTCGCAAGCTCCCCTCCTCGGGGAGAATAACGTGTCCGACGCACGTTCTCCACGTGCTCCCCTCCGCGAGGACACATCACCGGCCAACCGCCCACCTCCGAAAGAGCAGGTCAAACCCACTTTCCGGAGATCTAGGAGCGGTTGAACTAGGGAGAAGACCACGTCCTGGTCTTCACTACGCCACGTAAGCCCTAGCAATCATTAGGGTTGGGCCTGGTCATCCAGCCCACCTTAAATGACCGTTGGTCCGGCGCTGGGGTCTCTCTATAAATACCCTCTTCCCCAAGAGGGTCAGGTAACTCTTCTTGCCCCTTTCTGTACTGTTGCTTCCACTATGCCCAGCTTCTTACTTTGGCATCGGAGTGTCTTGCAGGTACACCCCCCTCCTCCTTCTCAACCCCGGTGAACAGGTAGTCGTCTAGTAGCGCGTGGCCATATCGTGATCCCCTTCTGATCAGGTCAGATCAGTGGCGCCGTCTGTGGGAATCTGAAACTTCCCCGTTACTCCGAGCAGAAAACCAAAAGTTTCACCAAACCTCCACGATCATGGCTAGCCCACACCGCGACGACACTCCGCACGACCTTGCGCTCAACGTCGCCACCAACGGGAAGCAGACAGGAACGGCACGTCCGACGGAAGCCGATGAAAGGGACGGGCAAACTGCTTCACCATCATCCGCGGAACGGCCCCTTCAGGCCGATCACCGCCCCCCGAGCCCGCCAGCATTCCACCCCGTTCCCATCCCGGCGGGAGCAGACCCGACGGTGGCCGCTCTCTTTACGGCCATCAACCAGACGAACCAGCTGCTGTTCCAACAAAATGCGAGAATTGGAGCATTAGAACGCGTCGGCCCTCCGAGGTACCCCCAGCGGGAAGACCATAACGGAGGTTCGAGGAGTCCCTCACCTCGACCCAGAAACCGCCGACCCCGGCTGGAGAGACACCGCCCGCAGGCGACACGAGAACGCACCAGATCCCCGGCAAGACACGTTCGCGGGAGGAACCAGAACGCCACGACGATCCCAACCGAGGACCCCCGAGGCGAGAACTCCGGCAGGAGGTCGAGAACTCGAAACCAGGGGCACACCTTGAACGACTCATCCCCCCACAGATCCCCGGCACACAGCGACGAGGATGATTACCGCACCCCGCTATCCCGGGAGATCATGGCTGCCCCCATACCCCAGGGAATGGAGAAACCACCGACGCTGTCGACATACGACGGCACCTCCGACCCGGACGATCACCTGGAAGACATCGAGGCTATGCTCGACTACCGAAACGTCCGGGGAGCTATCAAGTGCAGACTTTTCCCGACGACTCTGAGGAAAGGCGCTATGACCTGGTACAAAAGTCTGGAGCCCGAATCAGTTACGTCGTGGAGGGTCTTGAAGGACCTGTTCTCCAAGCACTTTACGGCATCCCGACGTCACCCGAAGACGGAAGCAGTCCTCGGGGCAATCATCCAAGGCCCCGACGAACCTCTCCGAAAATACATCGAAAGGTTTACTCGGGAAGCCGTGCAGGTGACAACTTCCGACGAAATGAAACGCTACTTAATGGAACATGGCCTGCGCCACGACTCCAAATTCTACGAGGCCGTAGGCATACACCGGCCCACGTCCCTCCAAGATTTCCTCGACAGAGCCGCGCATTACATCCGATTCGAGGAAACACAAGCGGCCAACTCCGCTCGCGACACTCGAGACAGAGAGGCCCCCCGCGGGCACCGAGACGACGGAGCTTCGAGCCATCGACGAGGAGGAGACCGCCGTCGGGAAGACCTCCCCCGCGAGCCCCGCGAACAACGCGAGCCACGCGACCCCGCAGGAAGATTCACAGAGTACACAGCCTTGGTCGCTTCGCGCGAACGCATACTGGCCGAATGCGCTAAAACCGAGTTCGTTCAGGGAGGTGTCCGATTTCCACGACCAACTCCGCCCAAACCTAACGTGGACAAGTCAAAATACTGCCGATTCCACAGGACCCACGGGCACGTGACAGAAGACTGCATCCATCTCAAGGATGCGATCGAAATTCTAATCAAAGACGGGCACCTGAAGCGATACACCCGAGGAGGTGAACCACCTAGGCCAGAGGCTCCGGAAGCCAAGAAAATCGAGGAACTTCCCTCTCCAGAGGACAGCAGCAGGCTCCAGGTCGCGTTGTGCGTCAGCCGCCCCGAGGATTGGTTCGCGAGCAGAGAATTCGGCATCCCCGAAGGACCCAACCTAGTCGACGAGCCAATCCGACCAACCAGCCGATGGGAATACTTCCCCAGAGCCATGGTTATCTCTGATGGAGCCACGAGGAGTCTATCCATAGGATCTGTGAAAAGGAAATTCGACGAGCTCATCGCGAACAACTCCGGCAAAATGAGCACGCTCGACAAATTCCGAGGCCGCTCCAACCCGATCACATTTTACCTCGAGGAACTACCCGGGGGATCTCCCAATTCCAACATCCCCTTGCTCATACGTGCCCGGATGGCAAACTTCGACGTCAGGCGCCTCCTCGTCGACGGCGGGAGCTCGGTTGACATCATGTACTCACATCTGTTCACAACTCTCCAGCTCGACGAATCCAACCTCTCTCCCTACGTAGGCTCCGACCTTCAGGGGTTCAACGGGACGACGACGAGACCTTGGGGATACGTGGAATTGAAAGTCACCTTCGGAGAAGAGGAAACAGCCAGGGACATCAGCGTCCGTTTCTTAGTCATCGAATGCCCGTCCCTCTATAACTGCATTCTGGGCAGGACGACGATAGCAGAACTCACCGCGGTACCCTCCACCGTCCACCTGAAGATGAAGTACTATACGAGAAGGGGAGTCGTGGTAACCCTCAACGGAGACATCGAAGCCGCTCGAAGATGTTTCGAAGCCGCGTTGAAAGGTCTAGACTCCATCGCTCCATCGACCAAAAAGAAAGCGTCAAGCGCTACGCCAAAGGACAAACCAACGGAGCTGGTCGGATCCGTTGAGCTCGACAGTCGCTTCACCGACGAGCTCGACAATAAAACAAAGACCGACGAAGTCAACGGGCAGCCCTCACACCCAGCGCGCCCCATCCCAGATGGAGAATTCGAACTCATTCCCCTCGGAGAAGACACGGGCAGAACCGTGAGGATAGGCGCAGGACTCCCAGACCTCGCGAAACATCAGCTCCAAGCCTGCCTACGTGAGAATGCCGACCTCTTCGCCTGGAGCACCGCGGAAACGCCGGGACTCGACCCCGAGGTCGCCTGTCACCAGCTGTCCATCAACCCCACTGCAAAGGCCGTTGTACAACGCCGACGTCGCCAGTCCCCCGAAAAATCGGCAGCGGCCGAACAAGCTTTGAAAGACCTCTTAGAGGCAAACTTTATTTCGGAAGCCCGATATTCAACCTGGCTGTCCAACGTTGTACTCGTTAAAAAGAATAATGGAAAATGGCGCATGTGTGTTGACTACACTGACCTCAACCGGGCATGTCCTAAGGACGCCTACCCCCTCCCCAATATCGACAAGCTCGTCGACAACTCTGCGGGCTTCAAGCTCTTGTCCTTCATGGACGCGTACTCGGGATACAACCAGATCCCGATGGCCGAACACGATAAGCAAGCCACAGCCTTCATGACGGCGTCGGGCAATTACTATTACAACGGGATGCCCTTCGGCCTCAAAAACGCCGGGGCCACATAC